TCATCAACATTCTCTATTGGCTTTGACCAAAGAAATTCATCGCACCCTTCTGCATTATCATCAGCAACCATGGACGTTAATTCAGAAGTGTCATTTTTGTTCAGTACTTTCTTTACAAAAACGTGATTTGGAACTGTTTGAACTTTTGGAAAAACTGTTGCTTCTTCTTTCAAAACATTTGAACCCTTGTTTTCAACAATTCGAACAAATTCGATTGAGTTTTCAGAAATTAAATTTTTCTTTGGTCCATAAATATTTTCCACAAAAGCAGAACAATCAATTTCTTCCTCTACAATTATTTCACTCATTTCACTTTCATCAAATTCAGAAATATACTCAGAATCATGACTATTATCTGTACTCAATTTCTTGCATAATAGGTCATATTTCAGCATAGCACTTAATTTGATTTCTTGTTTATCTTTTTCAGTTAAAATTGATGGGTTTTAGGTACAACAAATAAACTAGAAAACAATTCCTAAGTTCACATGCAACCTACTTTGGATCTATGTTTTAACTATTGAACATACAACTTTGAATTGCAAAACAAGGACCCTAGAGGAGAGAGGCTAATTTCGAAATTAACAAACTAGGGTTTAGGGTTTACATACCTTTCAATTGTTATAGCAAACAATTGATATTCCCTTGGTCTTGATCTTGATCTTCTTGGAAGCTTTAGCACCACAAGTGTAATGCCTCTAATGGAATCACACCCAAACTAGCAAGAAGGAAAGTAGAAGAGAGAGGGGAGAGGGAGTATGCAAAATCTCGGCCTTAGGGTTTCTTCAAAAGAAAGAGTGACCAAAAACATGAACCAGGAGGCTCCTTATATAGCTGAGGGATCTAGGGTTTAAGGGAAACCCTAGTTATCCTTTGCTTAGGGCCTAAGCAAACCCAAGGGCCTTATCCAAGCCCCTATGGACGAAATTATTAGGGTTTCCCCTAAAGATTTCGTCCACCCTCTTCCAAGGGGGTTCTAGAGCCTTCCACTCAACTATTAGATAATTGCAAACTAGTCCCTACACCTTATAATTAATTCTTTTAACCCCAAAATCAATTCTGATTAATTTCTGGCTAACAATTAATTAAACATAATGATTTCTAATTAATATATTAATCCAATAACATATTAATAAATCATTTATATATATATATATATATTAATTTATTAATCTTATAAATTAATATCTCTCCTTTCATAATTTCCTTGTCCAGTTGCTAGGTTGAGGGCAACCCAAAAGGACTGTGCTGCTATCAATTCAAGTACATACCAATTATAGTTATGGGCTTAGACACCTAATCCAACAGTCTCCCACTTGGATAAGTCTGTAACTATAATTGCTAGTATGCCTTCTAAATTTGACCAGCAAATTGTAGCTTCCAAAAGCTGTTGCCGAACTCTGACCCAGTCAGTTACGTGTCCTAAGATAAGTGATCGTATAATCCTTCGTTCTGCTAGATATCCCTAGACATAAGACATGGAATGTAATCAATCTCTTTATCCAGAATCTATGTTTCCCGATTCCTGATTTGTGATGATGTAGGACTTCTAATTGAACACATCAATTTAGTCCTGGCTGGGCCTAGCACATAAGTCAACACCAAATCATCGAGGGGCCCACAGATATCGCTTTTCCTGTTAGGGCAAAAGGAACGAATAAACGTTGACTCATATGCTTGTATCTTTTACTCATCAAATTATACATGACAATACGTTTTATAACATCAAGTTACTGATGTGGTTTCGTATCACCAATGTATTACCGACTTTTGTAAATTACAACTCATATATCTTCGTTTCAAGATTATAAGATATTATCGTCTCAGTATTACTCGTGATGAATTCCATGAAGTGATACTCTGAGCGAGGGTTTATCCAATACTCAAATATCAATTTCTGAGTACTCATGAACATTGCAGCAATTCTATTGCCATGTCTATCCTTAGACAATCTGCAATCCAATTCATGACAGTCTTAATTCACTACTTACTTCCAAGAGTACGAGCGACTGTGGAGTTTGAATAATCTCATTATTCAGGAAGTAAAACATGCAAAAATGAAACACAATAATAAACAATTGACAAAAGGTAGTAGCCAAACTTATAAATAATACTTTATTATTTAATCACCAAAAGTCAATTACATTTACTTTGTTACAAGTTTCAAAAACTAATCTAACTACTAAAACTAATATCATCTTTCAGTCCTATGCTTCGAGCATGCTGAATATGCTTAGCACTACTCAGACCCTTTGTGAGAGGATCTGCTGGGTTATCTTCAGATGACACCCTCTTTACTATAAGATGGCCTTCTTCTACTCTATGTCTGATGAAATGGTACTTTCTGTCGATATGTCTGGTCTTACCATGATCTCTCGGTTCCTTTGTCAAGGCAATCGCTCCTTCATTATCGCAGAACAGTTCCATAGGCTCCTGGATGGTTGGAACAACTCCGAGATCCCCGATGAAGTTCCTCAACCAAGCTGCTTCTTTTGACGCTTCACTTGCTGCTATGTACTCTGATTCACAAGTAGAATCAGCCACCGTATTTTGCTTGGAACTCTTCCAAGTAACTGCTCCTCCATTCAGTAAAAACACCCAGCCCGACTGAGAACGGAAGTTATCTCTATCCGTCTGAAAGCTGGCATCACTGTAACCATCTACTCTCAAAGTATCACTGCCACCAAGCACAAGGACCCAGTCCTTTGTCCTTCGCAAATACTTGAGTATATTCTTAACTGCTATCCAATGAGCTCTACCTGGGTTTCCCTGATAGCGACTGACCATGCTCAAAGCAAATGCCACATCAGGGCGAGTACATGTCATAGCGTACATGATCGATCCGACAGCGGAAGCATAAGGTACACGACTCATGTCATCTATTTCAACATCTGTACTCGGGCATTGAGTCTTACTCAATTTGGTATTGCTCTGGATAGGTAGCTCTCCCTTCTTGGAATTTTCCATACTAAACCTCTTTAGTACCTTATCCAAGTATGTGCTCTGACTAAGTCCAATTAGTCTCTTCTTTCTATCTCTCAATATTCTAATCCCAAGAATATAGGCAGCTTCTCCAAGGTCTTTCATGGCAAAACACTTTCCAAGCCAAGACTTAACTTCTTTCAAGGTTGGAACGTCGTTACCAATGAGTAATATGTCATCGACATACAACACCAGAAAAGTTACTATACTCCCACTAGCCTTGATATACACACAGAACTCATCTTCACTTCTAGAGAAACCAAACTCTTTGACTTTCTCATGGAAGCAAAGATTCCAACTGCGAGATGCTTGTTTCAATCCATAAATGGATTTCTCAAGCTTGCACACTCTATTGGGGAACTTTGCATCAACAAAACCCTCTGGCTGACTCATGTAAACATCTTCAGCCAACTTCCCATTAAGGAAAGCAGTTTTGACATCCATCTGCCAGATTTCATAATCATGAAAGGCAGCTATGGCGAGCAATATCCTAATAGATTTAATCTTAGCCACTGGCGAGAAGGTCTCATCATAGTCAACCCCTGGGGTTTGAGTGAAACCTTTTGCAACCAGTCGAGCCTTGAATGTGTGCACATTCCATCCATGTCTGTCTTCTTCTTGAAGATCCATTTGCACCCAACTGTCTTACGACCTGGTGCACTATCAACCAAATTCCAAACTTGGTTGTCATACATGGACTTAATCTCGCTGTCCATTGCCTCTTTCCACTTGGAAGCCTCTGGGCCTGCCATTGCTTCCTTATAAGTGACTGGTTCATCTAAGTTTACCAGTGTTCTGTCACTTATGAATGTGTCACCATCTGAAGTAATATGAAAACCATACAACTCAGGTGGCACACTCACCCTAGTGGATCTTCTAAGAGGTAATGAGTTATCAATTGGTTCAACAGGAACTGTTTCCTCTGGTTGAGTGCTAGTGTCATCTAAGGTTCCTTCATTGGCTGACTCTTGAATTTCTTCAAGGTCAATAGTGCTCCCACTGTCCTCTTTGAATATGAGCTCTCTTTCAAGAAAGACTCCTCTTCGTGCTACAAAGACCACGTTCTCACTAGGCCTGTAGAACAAATATCCAAAAGACTGCTTTGGGTAACCAATGAAAACACATTTCTCACTTCTAGCTGCTAGCTTGTCGTGAGTCTCTCGTCTTACGAAAGCTTCACAACCCCAGACTTTAATATGTGCTAACGAGGGAACTTTCCCTGTCCACATTTCGTGAGGTGTTTTGGCAACCTTCTTTGTAGGGACAAGATTGAGGATGTGGGCGGCTGTCTCTAAGGCATACCCCCAGAAGTGAATAGGAAGCGAAGCCCGACTCATCATAGAACGAACCATGTCTAACAAGGTTCGATTGCGCCTCTCAGCTACACCATTTAACTGTGGTGTCCTAGGAGGAGTCAATTGTGAGACTATCCCACATTCTTTCAGATAGTCGTTAAACTCGATACTAAGATACTCCCCGCCTCTATCGGATCTAAGTATCTTTATCTTTCTGCCCAATTGATTTTCGACTTCATGCTTAAACTCTTTGAACTTTTCAAAAGTTTCTGACTTATGCTTGATCAAGTAGATATATCCATATCTGCTATAATCGTCAGTGAAAGTCACATAGAATCGATTAGCATCTCTTGTAGTTGATCTGAAGGGCCCACACACATCCGTGTGTATGAGATCCAACAGACCTTCACCTCTTTCACAAGACCCTGTGAATGGTGATTTTGTCATCTTTCCCAAAAGACAAGATTCACACATATCATCTGACTTTAGGTCAAATGATTCCAACACTCCATCCTTTTGGAGTTGGGCTATGCGTTTCTTGTTAATGTGTCCAAGACGACAATGCCACAAGCATGCCTTGTCTACACTATTAGACAAGTCAATATTAAGTACACTATTTCCTAGGCTATCAACACAAGTCACTGTTTCATACACACCATTACAAGGTAAAGCTTCAAACATAAAAACACCATTCTTATAAACAGAAATTGAACCATTCAAATCATTAAAAGAATATGTAAAACCTTGTCTGAACAATGCATGAAATGAAATAATGTTTCTCGTCATCTCAGACGAATAGCAACAATTTATTAAATCTAATCTAACATCATTACTAAGCAGAAGCTGATAAACTCCGATCTTGGTTACTGGTGAAGACTTTCTGTTTCCCATGATCAGGTTTATCCTTCCTCGCTCTATCTCCTCACTTTCCTTTAGACCCTGCAAATCAGAACAGATATGAAAACCACATCCTGTATCAAGGACCCATGAACGAGAAGATAATGAGTTATTAGCAGAAATAGTGTAAATACCTGCCGAAGATGGCTTCACTTTGCCATCCTTGATATCTTGCAGATATTGTGGGCAAGATCTCTTCCAATGCCCTTTTTGGTTGCAGTAAAAGCAAATTGCCTCTTTTGGATCAGAAACATGGGGAGTGGAACCATTGGGCTTAGCCTTTGGGCCATTACTAGATGACCCAGCTTGAGCCTTGCTCTTCCAGTTTTGCTTGGGAGGACCTTTCCTCTTTTTCCCCTTTCCCTGTCCAATAGCCAAAACAGGGGCACTCGTAGGTGTGGAGGGTATACTTTTACCCTTCATCCCTGCCTCAGCTGTCTGCAACAAGTTGTGCAATTGGGCCAAGGTCTGCTCAGTATTGTTCAAATGGTAAGTTAGAATAAACTGACCATAACATTCAGGAAGTGAGTTCAAGACCATGTCAATGGCCAATTCCTCATCAAAGTGAATATTGAGCTTGACCAAACGCTCTATGTAGCGTTGCATTCTTTGCACATGTGACACAACTGACTCCCCATCTTTCATCTTGCAAGCCATGAGTGACTTGACTACTTCAAACTTTTCTTGACGAGCTCGCTTATGGTACTTTTCCATAAGGTCCTTGTTCATCTCGAAAGGCCAGTAGTCCTCATAGTACCTCTGCAGTTCTGGGGACATAGTTGCCACCATGATGCATGCCACTTTGGTAGCATCATCGTAATGTTTCTTGTAGGCAGCAAGATCTTCAGGAGTAGCTTCATTCTCATCAAGCTCTTTGAGCTCCTTTTCAAGAACATATTCTTTGTTCTCGAAACGAAGAGCCATCTTGATGTTGCGCATCCAATCGTTATAGTTTGAGCCATCCATAACGACTTTGGAGCATATATTGAGCAAAGAGAAGTTTTGGTTGGAGGAGGACGAAGCAGAAGTGTTTCCAGGAGTAGACATCTGAGAAAGTTTTAGTTAGATTTCAAGATACCTTAATAAAATAACCCAAAGATATAATATCAAGGTTAGGATCCAACTATGAAGATTCACAACTCAGAAATGGGATGCCGAGATCCAAGTGCAAATTTCATAAAGGTAGGTGAATGACGATTCACCAATTCCACCATTAGACGAAGTGAAATTCCTAATTCTTTTGAGATACATTGAAACTATTCAATGGCATGTTTTAATCTCAGATTATGCTCTTCTATTTGTGACTGGGATGCCGAGGATCACAAACAAGATGTGAATAACCATGCAAATGTGCTTGGTAACCTCATTGTCTTTATCATTAACTATTGATGTGCTGGTAAACCACACACGCTCCATCAAAATGACAATTATGAGATACCCATTACTACTCTTTATTAGTGCCTTTTAGTGTGCTGGTTAACCACACACGCTCCACTAACGACCAATAAAGCATAATGTGCAATTTCATGGATTAGCATACTTTTCACATTTTTCCTAAAGTAACTAGAGTTGGGATTTTTGAAAATAATGTTCTAGTACTTTTAATATCATTATACTTTTAATGAGAAGTAGTTGTCCTATCAAATCCGTTCTGCTAACGACCCTCCACTAATCAAGGAAGCGGTGGGTGAGAGTGGACACCCATTCAACTACCATTTTATAGGCAGTTTCCTTATACCCCCCTTATAGATTAGCTTCGTGAATGAGGCATACTAGCGATTTGACTGACCATATTCTTATACATATAATATTAAACCTTTAATTATAACATATATATAAGGTGTGTTTTAAAACTTTTTAAAACTTCAAGGGTTTATATAAATTTCGAAATTTAAGCTGTTAAATTCAAATTTAAATAAACCAATTAACTAGATTTAATATTTATCTATTAATTAACTATTAATCAAATTATTAAATCTTGTAAGGATTATCTAATTAAATTAATCAATTAATTTAATCCTAATCCTTATCCCTCTAATTTCGAAAAATAGGGTAAGGATAATTATCCAATTAATCTAATTAAGTAACAATTATCCAAAAACAAGAAACCCTAGTTATCCTCTAGCATATTTCGAAATTCATAAGGGAGGAGGCTAGGGTTTTCAAAACCCTAACCCTAATTTCGATTAGGGTTCTTTGGAGGCTAGGGTTTTCGAAAAAACCCTTTGATCCAAAACCCTAGAAATCGAAAATTGGCCTTTAGGGTTTAATAGCTATAAACCCTAATTTGCAATTCAACAATTGTAGCAATTCAATTTAAAACAACAATGGCTCTGATACCACTGATGGGTTTTAGGTACAACAAATAAACTAGAAAACAATTCCTAAGTTCACATGCAACCTACTTTGGATCTATGTTTTAACTATTGAACATACAACTTTGAATTGCAAAACAAGAACCCTAGAGGAGAGAGGCTAATTTCGAAATTAACAAACTAGGGTTTAGGGTTTACATACCTTTCAATTGTTATAGCAAACAATTGATATTCCCTTGATCTTGATCTTGATCTTCTTGGAAGCTTTAGCACCACAAGTGTAATGCCTCTAATGGAATCACACCCAAACTAGCAAGAAGGAAAGTAGAAGAGAGAGGGGAGAGGGAGTATGCAAAATCTCGGCCTTAGGGTTTCTTCAAAAGAAAGAGTGACCAAAAACATGAACCAGGAGGCTCCTTATATAGCTGAGGGATCTAGGGTTTAAGGGAAACCCTAGTTATCCTTTGCTTAGGGCCTAAGCAAACCCAAGGGCCTTATCCAAGCCCCTATGGACGAAATTATTAGGGTTTCCCCTAAAGATTTCGTCCACCCTCTTCCAAGGGGGTTCTAGAGCCTTCCACTCAACTATTAGATAATTGCAAACTAGTCCCTGCACCTTATAATTAATTCTTTTAACCCCAAAATCAATTCTGATTAATTTCTGGCTAACAATTAATTAAACATAATGATTTCTAATTAATATATTAATCCATTAACATATTAATAAATCATTTATATATATATTAATTTATTAATCTTATAAATTAATATCTCTCCTTTCATAATTTCCTTGTCCAGTTGCTAGGTTGAGGGCAACCCAAAAGGACTGTGCTGCTATCAATTCAAGTACATACCAATTATAGTTATGGGCTTAGACACCTAATCCAACAAAAATTTCTTTCAACATGTTTTTATGTTCTTTGGACTGTATATATTCTTCAATTTTCTCAAGTCCAACTCTGTAAGAATCAGAAACATCAAACCTTTACCTATTTCACAATCCAAATGAAGTTAAGTAATATTAAAATACAGACGTTTAGCAATCAAACAAAAAATATTTCTCTGTTTTAAAAGTGATTTACTATCTCTCTTAAGGAAAATAATATCATCTCGTGATCGAGTACTCAACTTCCAAGGCTTCTATTCTTATTCTTCTCTCCTTATTCTTAAATGTTACATTGTTAAGTTTATCATTCATATTAGAAATATTGATTCAAGTCCTTTTTAAGCTATCACTAAAATCAAAAATCGTATAACGTAAATCATCCAATTCAAAATCATAACATGATGTAGGAATATTAAGAGATTTAAGAATAGAATGTACCTTTTCCACAACCTTCTCGCATTCGTTCACCTGCTCGTTGATTGTCTTCGTAAAAAATCAGATATTTGAAGCTTTTCCACCATCAGTTGCACATCCTCTCGGTTCCGAACTGCCACTCTAAACCATCAAACACTTACCTGCATAACCTTGCTTCTCGGAATTCACCACAAAACACCCGCGATGAGTAGGTTTCCTTACTTCATCATCGTCTGCGTCTGTGGACCACACTTCGACTCGACCATCATCACTTTCCTCTTGTACCATCAACACAAGTTTCGCATTTGATGTATTTTTCTTTCGGAGTTCTTCTATTTTCTTAGTATAGTAGGCTACGTCTTTATCCTTCTCATTCATCTCATTCTGCTTACGTAGCATGCATTCCTCTGCAAAGTGATTCTTCCCATGACAATAGTTACAATCATATCCAGAATCACCCAACAACTTCTTGTCTTTCTTCTCTTCTACAATCTGAGAATTCTTGTAACTCTCCTCTCATGGCTTTTCGTAACTGGAGTTGCCCTGCTTGTACTTGTTTCTGACACGAGAGAAATTCTTCTTAAAGAACTTGTTTGGGTTAGACACCATCAACGCTTTATCTTCTTTTGAGAGTTCATCTTCCGAAATGTCAGATTTAGAATCATCAATAACTAACTTCTTACCTTTAGTAACCAACGCCAAAGATCCAACACTAGAGACAAGCTTTGCTTCCTTAGTAACTTCATCTTCAGGAGATTTAAGAATACCCATGAGTTTTTCCAGTGAATAGCTTTTGAATTTTTCATCTGCCTTAACAGTAGAAACTATAGACTTCCATTCGGATCTGAGACCATTCATGAATGTTACCTTTTGTTCAATGGCTTGTCGCTCAAGATTGTATTTAAGCATTTTGCTTAACAAGTGATTGAAGAGATTGACTGTTCTTTCTAAATTATCATATGGTTTCTGCACAAAAGATCCAAATTCTGTGAAAAGTTTCGTCTGCAAAGAATGTTCCAAGTCGGCATCACCTGAATATAATTCCATCAGTCTGTCCCAGATTCCTTTTGCAGTGTCGCATGAACTATCAAGACGGAATATGTCAGGAGGAAGAGCAAATCGAATGATTCTTATTGCCTTTATATTACACATCATCTTATCCTTCTCATCATGTGGAATGTTAGTGTGTTTAATAATAAATGCATTATATTCAGCCAGAGTTTTGATTTCTTTTCTGGTACCCGAATGTGTATACGTTTCCCCCATCATTTCAAGTCATATTCTTGAACCATGTTCTTCGATTCCAAGTACGTAATCTTCAAAAAGAAGAGCCCAGACCTCATAATCTCCTGGAAAAAGGATAGGAATCCTTATTGTTGATCCAATCCTGCTTGAGAGATTAAATAAGAGAGAGAGAGAGTGAGGATCGTCATTAGGCATATTAACGAGAATTCAATGAAACAAAATATAGAATCAGATGTGTAAACTTGAAACGAGTTCAAGGGAAAAATAGAGATCTAGATCTGGGATCTACAATCGATTGAGATAATTGTGACAACAAGAACATATCTGAGAAAATTGTAAAACCCTAATGAAAAACCCTTTACTCGAAAGAATAATAGTGAATTAATTACAGTATCTCCTGCTCTGATACCAATTGTGAGAAACAATAAAATATCGATAGATTCTATATTTATGAGATGAATTAAAGACAAGGAACTATATTACTCATACAGGTCCTTCCATTATTAGATAATGAAGGCATAATATTTTACACACATCAACATGGAATTATTAGTATAGAGATTTAAGCGTGAAAGAGAAGAATACGATACATACACATAGTGTCTCCAGGTTTTGCTCCCCCTTCCTGTAGAAACGTGTAATGGAACCTGAGCCGCCCCAACCACTAAACGTGGGAAATTTTCCCTGATATGACCAGGATGATGAGAACGATGACACAGTTCTACTTCCAGAGTGCATTATTGGCGAAGGTGGCCCTTCCCTCCGCACCTTTCGCATTTGAACTTGCCGTGCACATGCTTATGTGTTCCTTCACCCCTTGCACAAATGTCGCAGCCCCTCGGGTCTCTAGTACTAGACATGGAAACATCAAAATTCTTAGATGTTGTTGACAAATTTGGATCATGAGTCCGCCTCCTCTTCCCTAGTTGCCTCTCCAAACCGAGCTCCTGCTCCCGGGTCACCTCAACCATCCCATCAACTGCCTGAACAGTCGAGATCCGATCCTTGAACCTAGCGACCAGCCGTTCAGTGACATGGCTAATAATGTCAGATAACTCCTCGCG